TTTCCCTATTTATTTGCACCCTACTTCCAAGGGCTTTGAACTCCCTGAATCTTGGATGTAATCTTCACTTTAGTTGTAAAACTCAATATATTTTAACAAATCAATTGGTCAGATTGAAAGTAAATTAAGATCGAAGTGAAAAGATCATCACAACTTCTTTAATATTTTCAAGGCTCAACCAATTCAAATCACCATTTCACAAAATCTCAAGATAAGGAGAAAGACAGAGAATACTACTTAGAACTCATGGGGAAGATACGACAAAACTGAAAATTCATATATAAAATCAAAGTCATACAAACTACAAGAAGTAAATAACAAATATCTCTAATTCCTCCTCGAGCAAACTCCTCGGCACATAGAATTCTTTTTTAAAGCGGAAAGGAGGAAGAAATCTCTCACTTTCCCTCCACTCTTACAATCTCTCAAAGAATTCCTCACAATCTAACCCTAATTTAAACTCTCTACACTCTACTGAGGCTCTTGGACGCTGTTCGAACCTTCAAACTCCTCGAACTCCTTGAACTCCTTGAACTCCTCTAACTCCTCAAACTCTTTGAAATCCTTGAACTCCTCAAACTCCCCCTCAATTTTTGGCCAAAATCCTCTTTTAAAGTTGTAGAAGAGTTTTTCCAAGAGTTGCCTAAGCATGCCTTCAAAAATCGTCCACAATCAATGCACCTATTGAGATAACTGCCGATCTCACCATCGGCGGCCTCGAGGGCGCCTTCGGTAGGCCTTCTAAATTATTTGATCTGGAGTCTCGGGAAAATCTCGTCGTCGACGCCATTGGATTCGTTGTCGGCGCTCTAGTTTAAATCTTCATATTTTGGTCCTTTTCGCTCCAAATTCGCTCCTTTTTGCATCTTTTTGCTCCAATGACCATAATTCAATATACATGCAACAAAATATCAAAAATACCCTTCTTTAAAGTGCAATATCATCAAAATCAGTATAAAATAGGTATGAAAATCTCTTCAACATATTTTAAATAAGTATGAAAATTTCAACATATTTTCTTTTGGTCACCAGGTACCCCGCGCTTAAGCGCCGAAGTAGTTATGTGATGAATTATTTAATTTGAACAAATTTTTGAAGAGTTGTTTGAAGCAATCCTAAGTAAAAACGTGGGAAATAGCCCATGGACACGAAAATTCATTCAATTGGCTTTTGAGAAGATAATTTTTAGAAGATTCATTGAATGGAGACATCTTTTTTTAAGCAACCCTAGTTGCAAGTATTTAGTTAAGTTAATTAGTTGCTTACTTTATTTTCATAAACCAAAAAAATTACAAAAAGAATCAAATTTGCATTCATATTTTAATATCTTAAGATTAAGTAAGAATAATTTGCTAACTAGATTTTTGTCATTTAAAGTTTCTAAAATTTCTAGATTTCTAAAGTGCATATTGTTAATCTCCCTGTGGGTTTGATATTCAGGGTTTAATCAAAAAGTCATATATTACTTGATAATGATACGTATACTTGCTAGTATCCCATATTTAAATATTATAATTGTATTCTTATTTGTTTTGTAGTGGAAAACTTACTTAGCTTTTTCTTTGGATCAAGTTTTTGACTTTGTTGCAAATTAAGAATAACTATTAAGGAAATTAAGCATATAATCACATACATCGCATATTACATTTATACAAAAGAATAGGGATCAGTAAGCGCCAGACCTGGGTGCTTAGGCTCCCCAGTTCATTTTTACTCTAAATTTGATCTTTTTCACTCTTTTAATCATTTTTCATTCAATTGATTGTACCTGAAAGAAAAACACACAAATACCTTTCATTAAAGTGTAATATCTCAAAAATAGGTATAGAAACGTGTACATAAAGACTATATATTTTAGGTATATCACTTAGGTGCTAGGGTCTCTATGTGTTTTGGGCGAATGATAGGTGCCTAGGTGCTCCTTGTCTGGTGCTTTAACACCAATCTCTCTGTTGTTTGGTGTGGATTTGGATGGGTGCCTATGCGCTTATGGCTAAGCGCCAAGCTCTTTGTTGTTGATGGGCAAGTGGTATGGTGGGCGCCTATACGTCCATAGCTTGTTGACTAATCACCAAGCTCTCAGCTGTTTTGCTGCTACAATAATGAGCGTCTTAACGCCCATTGCTTGGCGCTTATGTGTACTACTCTCTGAAATAAGTTAGCTCCATGGCCTATGCTATTTTTTAGTTCACTTTCTTCTGTCTAAATTCACATGTTACCTAGAGATTACATAGAAAATACCTAAAAAAACATAAAAATAACAAATAACATGTAACATTAACATAAATTAAAGCATTTTATTCCACATATTATACACAAGTCAAAATAGAAGGGGGGCAATTCAAAAATTAATTTTATTTATGTGGGTGAGTTTGATCACAACCATTCATTAAAGATAAACATCAATCATATTATTTATTGAATCCAGATTTGTCCTGTGATGCATACCTAGGAATTGACTGGTAGGAAACTTTAGGAAAAGGTGGAGAGAGAGAAAGAGGGGGGAGAGAGAAGGACAAAGTATGCAGTGACATGCCCCTCTGTCAAAAATTGGGGTATTTTCGGGTTCTGCGACCCATTATATATATTAATTATAAAGATTACAACTGAAAGAAGAGAGAGACTCCCTACAAAAGAAGGTTCTAGAGTGAAAAGGGCCAAAAACCCCAAAAGCCTCTAATATATGATCTGGTTCACCTATTTATAGAAGATAGAAGGACATAAGGTAAAATTACATGTTTTCTCCTACTTTGGAGGGGTTGTACAGGTTATTATGATTTTTTTTTGCATATTTGAACCTTATGGTCATCAAGTCCTTGAGTTGTTCGACTGAGTTGTTTTTTACCAGCTTTCATTTGTGCACCGGATGGCTTTCTAACTAGGAAGTAGGCCCACTTTTGAGTGGGATGGCTAGTTGGTTTTCGGGCAGCTGGTCGTATTTCCTGATTTTTTTTCCTTGGTGATCTTTGGGGGAGCTAGTGAGAGAGCTTCGCGTTGATACTTGTAAGATTGTTGGTCTGGTCGTTTTCCTCAGAGCGATTGATGTGGATACCAATTTCCTGTTGGCCTAACTAGTCTTTTGGTCGACCAACTGGCCTTTGGTTGGTCGGCACCCCTTCAGTTGGTCGGCATCACTTCAGTTGGTCGGCAGCACTTCAGTTGGTCGGCAACCCTTTGGTCTGCTGGCAAACCTTCGGTCGACCGGAATGTCAAACCTTCGATCGACCAGACTGGCTATCAGTCGACTGAGTTGATTTTGATCGATTAGATTTGTGAGACCATATAGTTTTTTCATCGTGGAGGACCCTCGACATATTTCCTTTGATTTGGGTTGTTAGATTGTTTTGAGAATCGTGCTCGCACTTTTTTGGTGTGCATTAATACATGCATTTTTAAATAGTTCGAGGAAAAATTTAAGCTAGTTATCGTTTATAAATGCCTAATTTGTTTAATTATTTTGGCATTTAGGGAGAGCTTCAATTTCTTACAATATTCGAAGAATTCTAAGCTTCTTTGCTTTAGGTCTTATAATTGTCTTATAACTAGAAAAAATTTCTCAGTTGGTCAAGGCACAAGTTAAAAGTTAGTGAACGGGATGTGAAGTGAAGCATTTTAGACCTTTTCAAAACCCTACAATTAAAAATCTTCAAAATAAAAACACTAAGCAAGCTATATCATTCAAATCAATAAATTAAACACAGAGGTATGCAATTGTAAGACTATGATGCCCAAAATTTGAAATTTTAATATTTAAAGTTTTTAACTTTGGAACACAATTAATAAGATGCTGCACTCATAATCAATCCTACGAGGATAAAACCACCCGAGTAAACTATAGCGTGGATCAGAAACTTAAGCAAATTAGTGTGTTATAATTATTAAATTTACCATATCTGACAACAAAAAAAAAAGGAAATAAAAACAGCTCTTCTAAATCAGATTTGACAAGCATGCTCTAAAGATTATAGAACTTGCTTCTTCTCCAATAAATTTTTCTCCTTGTAGGATCCAGCCATCAAGCCTTTACCTCGTCAAAGAGGCCTAAAGTTGAAAGAAAAAAAAAAAAGAACCAATCCGACCAATAATGATTTGGTTGTAAGTTCCTGACAAAACAATCACCAGGTCAATTTGCCAATTAATATCAATTTAATGATAAATATCTTGAGCTTATGTTATACCAATCATCTAATTATTCTTTTTTATAATAATCAGAAAATTTTTGTTTTGGTGGAATCATGCTAAATAGCCAATCTAAGCCAAATTGGCGACAGTTTCAAAGACAGTTCCAGGCGATAGTTCTTAGAGAGAACCAAGGAGAAGAGAGAGTTTGGTTTTGAAGCAAGGGAAAGGCTTATAGGAAGTTAGCCTTTCTTTGCAACATCATTGAATGAATCATGTCTCTTCAGGAGTCTCACCCATCTTCTGATTCAATTAATTGAGCTTTCTCTGATAGTGAGAAGGCAGGATTAGCCACCAGGAAGGTTGGAAAGGGATGAATAAAATTTCAAAGCTCTTTCTGCTGTTTTATGTGCTTGGAGGAGGCCTTCAAGTTGGTCATGGAGATGTATCTGCTGGAGATGGTAATCCTTTTTTTTTTTCTTTTTTTGTTATTTGGCTTCTGCATCGTGATGGTTAATAATTTGAATGTTTCAGAGCCTCACAGGAGGGAGTTGAGTCTATATATCCTGTGTCTAATGAAGTCTGATTTGTTAACTTGTTTCAATGATTTCATGCATAAGAGATCACTATATGTGAGCGTTTTAATTATTTTGATATCTTGATAACATATAATATAGGAATTCTTATAGTTATCTGCAAATAAAGCTGAAATGGACGCCTCTTCTTTGCATATCCATGGGGGCAAGAAAAAAAAAGATAAGCCCATATGGAATAGCCCTATGGCTTTGTCTCTATGATCCCATCTTTCCTGCACTTTTAACATGATTTCGATAAAAAATTTACCAAGACATCAGTTGCAGTACAGACAGCTAATGCTTCTGGTACAATTCTATCTACTTGTAAAACTGATGGAATTTTATGCAGCTGTGGTACTCCGATCTTTGATGGACAACTGGGAGAACTCACCCCCAACCTGGGGGAAGACTGATGATCCATGTGGTGCACCATGGGAAGGAGTTGAGTGTGCAAATTCTAGGGTGACTGCACTGTAAGTCTTCCTATATTAATTTCTGTCGTTAGAATGACTTACAAGACATTATTTGCTGATTTTTTATTCTGATTTTAGGAAACTATCTACTATGGGACTCAAAGGTACATTAAGCAGCGACATATCCCAACTCTCTGAACTGCGACTGCTGTAAGTTTTATCCTTCCAGATCCTGTAAGGATGTAGATGCCATTGGGATTCTAAAAAGTATAGCCACTGAAGTCTATGGAGTTGCACACAATTATAATGCAGGGATCTGTCCTACAATAATGATCTTGGTGGACCACTACCTCCAAGTATAGGAAATCTGAAGAAGCTTATCACCCTGTGAGTAGAACAACCGTTTTAATTTCTCAAATCGACTGTAGAATATAATAGATTCACTAAAGTTTCCATTTTTACATGTAGGATCTTGGCAGGTTGCAGCTTTTCTGGCATTATTCCACAAGAGCTTGATGGCTTGGAGCAACTCTCGTTCTTGTGAGAATTATTCCAATCAAAATCCATACATTGAACTTTATCATACATTCAATTCATAAAATAGCTGTCACAGCATCATTTTTTAGTTTTCTTATTCTTTTTTTGACATGAAAAAGGAACCCTGAATATTATTATGAATCTTTTTTTTTATAATTTCTATTTTAGAGCTCTGAATTCAAATAAGTTCACTGGAAGAATACCTCCTTCAATGGGTCTGCTCTCCAATCTATACTGGCTTGATCTTGCAGACAATCAGCTTATAGGATCTATTCCTATCTCATCAAACGGCTCCTCTGGCTTGGATCTTCTCATTAATGCTAAGCATTTGTGAGTTAATTTAGTCTAATTCCTCATTTTAGTTCAAGATCATCACGAAATCTTGCTTACATAGAAATCATAATTCTCTTCACATGGAGTTTGACAGTCACTTTAACAAGAACCAGTTATCAGGCACCATACCAAGTGAAATTTTCAGTTCCCATATGAAACTAATACATCTGTAAGTATGGTAATTGATTATAACTTCTGCCTCGCACATATTAACATGAACATTACTTGATTTTTGTTCAAAAAGAAAATTGCAGACTCCTAGATTCCAACAAATTTACTGGGCAGATCCCAGAATCAATCGGGCTTGTAACTTCGCTCGAGGTTCTGTGAGTATACTTAGCACCATAGCTATTCTCTCCTTGTTTACTATGTATATGCTGGAAACATGCTTTAACAAACATCAACGTTTGCAACAGACGACTTGATAGAAATTCTCTAAGTGGCCCTGTTCCTTCTACCATAAACAAGCTTGTAACTGTCAACCAGCTGTAAGTTAAAATAATAATAGAATCTCAAAATATATAATAACAACTAGATTCACTTCTTGCCATCGATTTCATTCAGGAACTTGGCCAACAATCAGCTAAGCGGACCACTGCCTAATCTGACCGGGATGAACCTCCTCAACTATGTGTAAGACACAGTTGAGATTATACTGACAAATTTCTGTAATGTAGTTTCGTTCATTTGAGAATGCTGCAAACTGGCTTGCAGGGATTTGAGCAACAACACATTTGACTCCTCAGAAGCGCCAGACTGGTTCTCCACAATTCAATCGTTGACTGCTTTGTGAGTTCTCTGATCACTTTCATTGAAAATGGGTGGTTACTAATTTGATCGGAATTCATCTAGCCACCGCTTCGAAGTAATTCAATCCCATCACAAGTTGAGCCAAATATATTTATGTTGGAATGGAACTATATAAACTATATAGGAAGAAACTTCTTTTGCCTATCATATGTATAAACTTCATATAAATCTAAATCTACTGATTTTAAACCTTAAAATTTATTTTTTGAGAGTAGTGATTTTATACCTTTTCAACTCATATGGCCAAGCCTACAATACCATGGCCCTGCATCCACCTTGGTTCTAGCCACATCAATGAAATTTATCATTTCATTGATCAAGTGAAGAGTGTCTTCAATGTTGACCCGAGCTATCACCATTGCCCCCTGGTCACCTTTTCACGACCCACAAGTTTAAGTAGTCACAAACCCTGACTTTGACATCTGGCTCATAGAGATGAGATTTCTCTTAAAACTTGGAACATATCTAATTTCAGTAAGCTTCTATATTGTTTTATTTGGTAACTCACCATTTCTTACGATATTGCAGACTTTGTTGTCTTCCAGCTAAATATTCCTTAGATTACTCAGAGTGTAATTTTTTTAATATCACTTTATTAAAGCATGTGTAAAAAGTAACATTTGAATTGACTATCCAAAATTTAGTACTGACTAGGGATAACACGAGAAAGTCACGTTATATTTTTCTGTGGAGGCATTTGTTAAGAGATTTCTTTTCAATATTCTACGACCAACTTTGGAGTTTTACAAACATCCTTGAAATGTTATTTCTTTTCGCATTTCCAACATACTTCCTTACAATTTTCTCTGCTTTACTCAAACTTTCCTCTTTTATACATGAATTTATTCCTGCTTGTATTACTATTCATATTACTTCCGCTATTTTCTGAATCAACACAAAACTTGAAGATTCACTATTCACTATTTTTTGCTAACTTATTCATTCAACACCGATCCCATGATGTCATCAAATTTTAACGTCATATTTTCTGAAGAGTTGCCAACACAATCAATCCATCCTACATATTCGGTAATGAAGACAATATCAACAGTGCCCTGACTTCATCCTCAAATTTAATCTACATAGAGCACAACTAGCTTGGTATAATTTTGAAATTGTTCAGATGTTAGGCCACTGAACTGTCTTCCATCATCTTCATATTAAATAATCTCTTCATATAAGAAAATTATTTGAAGCAGAAGATTTTTTGTATTTTTTTTGTCAGTACCGCCATGACATCCATTGTCACTTTCTCATTCACTATATTGAACACAACAATGGAAAAAGTTATAAATGGATTAAATCTATAATTGTTTGATCCAACACCTCCAATTTCTCCATTGTTATAGACTCGCTTCTTGTTGATTCCTTATAGTGGTAGATATAGTTTTTTTTTGGATACATCAAATTCTCCACTTGCAACACGAAGTTCAATCCATTGAACTTGTTCACTTTGTACTTTGCTTCAGCAATCATTGTTCCCACTCGAATCAAAGAATATACTCTGATACCACTTGTTGGGATGAAACTATATATAATTCTAGAGCTTTGACCAATTAGAAATTAAAATCACATGGAGAAATAGGATCACACCGACTAGAGGAATCTAGACAAAAAATTGAACAAAAGTACAACAAACATTATTTCATAAAAATACACTAAGATTTAACATAGAAAAATTTGAGAATTGGAAAAATCATGAAGCTATACCACTAAGAAATGTATATTATGAAAAAATAAAAATATATGGAAATACTCACTCGGATTTTTGCTCTACAATCAATAGAACATACAAGATTTTACTCTAAATCCTTCCTATGGATTTCACAAGAGAAATTACATGCAAAAAGCCTCCTTCTCGACTCTTCTCGGCTTCTCGGAAAACCTATCAAAAGTACTGCATCTGAGAGATTGACTTTCATCGATTGAAATCGAGAACATAATGAACTGTTCATGATGAACTGCTCATCAACTTGTTCATGCCCAAACATGGCGTTATTATTCCACCCCGCTCAGGAAGAATGAACTGATGGAGTGACCTTCTGTAGCATGGTTATGCCATATACAATGCTATTATGACGCCCAACATAGTTCTGCCGCCCAGCGTAGCTACGCCTGTTTCGGGAATGCCTGCGCAAAGCCTAGGCTCAAGCTTGTGTTTATGTGCTCCTTGTGGTTGTATGTTTCATGCGGTTGTGGGTGCATCCATACAAACAATGTTATAGTCCACCTCAATCCGATTTCGATTTGAGCCAAATATGACTTGTTAAAATCTATTCAGAACAAAAACAGATCTAATCTCAATTGAATTTGATCTCCTAAGATAAATTATTAGTCCAACATGCATATGTTCACTCTTACATTCATAGATTCAAGTATACAAATTTGTAAGTGCTTATATATCAATCTAAAATTAAACATACACAAAAAAAGTATATTGCTCCCAATCCATTCCGAACTATGCTCAATTGAAATAAAGTTAAATTAGACTACGGGTTGGCTCATTAGTTTGCTTGTTGACTTCAATCTGACCCATAAGCTGATCTAATTTTCAAGAGTTCTTTGATCCCCTCACAACGCTACATGGAATTGCCTTGTACTTTAATGTAGTACCAAAACATCTCATCTGACATGCATTGCTTGGGCTTACAGGGTGATAGAATCTGGAGGGCTTTATGGTAGTTTTCCATCCAAAATGTTCAGCTTTCCTCAGCTACAACAAGTGTAAGTGATAAATGACAACATTTCTGACTATAAAGTTCTGATCTAGAAGAGTAGAAGCAGTGCCCTTGGTAACTAACATGCCGATCTGTTAAATGATTTGGCAGATTATTAAAGAATAATGCATTCAATGGTACCCTTGATTTGGGTGATTCTAGCTCAGAATTAGAGATGGTGAATCTCCAAAACAATGCCATCTCTGGGTACAGTTCATCCAGAACTTACAATGAAAGTTTAATGTGAGTTCCCAGAACAAGCTGGCTTGATTCCTTAGACTTCACAATATATGGAATCTTACTTTTTTTTTTATATGATGCCTCAATACTTTGTGGTTGCAGACTTGCTGGAAATCCAGTGTGCACAACTCAGCTAGCAAATTCCATCTATTGCAACCTACAACAGCAAATGCAAAACCACTATCACACAAGCTTAGGAAACTGTAACTCTACTTCATGTTCCCTTCAGAGTGTCAATCCTAAGAGTTGTGCATGTGCTTCTCCTTATCAGGGATTATTGGTGTTCAGGGCACCATTATTTCGAGATCTGATAAACAGCACAAGGTTCGAAGGATTAGAAAGGTCCCTTTGGAGTAATCTGGGCCTTTCTCCAGGGTCAGTGTATCTATCACAACTTATCTTCAACGAGAATAATTATCTGGAAATGCAGTTGAAACTCTTTCATCCAAATGAAATGTTCTTCACACGGTCAGAAGTTCAAAAACTCGGATTTTCTCTAAGCAATCAAACTTACAAACCTCCAGCTGAATTTGGACCATACTTTTTCATTGCCTACCCATATTCCTTTCCAGGTAAAGTATCTTTGTTTACATAAGCCAACTTTAATTTTCTTAGTGTGATCAAATGACAACAATATATTTCAGACAGCAATGAAGGAAAAAACTCAATGAGCGCGGGTCTTAGAGCTGGAATTGTGGTTGGTTGTATCATTCTACTCATTCTGCTTGTAGCTCTTGCAATTTATGCCATTGGGCAGAAGAAGAGGGCAGAGAGAGCCGTTGAAAAATCGAAGCCTTTTGGTAAAGCTTTCCTAGTAACTGGCATTTCTATGTTTTACTCATTGACTCTCAAAAGTGAAAACAAATTATGAAATTGAAATTGCAAGTATATTTCATTATCCTTTAAAATTTTATTCTTGAAGGAAGGAAGTATGTTCTGACATCGTATAAATTGAAATACAGGAGTACATGCACTGATTACTAGTTTACTACTGTTAGCCAGTTTGAATTAGAGAAATTCATTTTCTCATAAGCTAAACCCAAGGAGTCGAACCAGGAGGCAAAGTAACTCCATCAAACTATAATTTCATGTTCTATTGAGCCCATTATCCTTCATGGAAGAAATGTTATAATTTTATTAAAATTTAAAACAACTTTAGCATTTAATAAGTATGATGATTGTTTATCCTACATCCAGTTTTAATTTCCTGATGACTAAGATTTCATGTATGAACTGCATTATTATCAAGTTACTAAATTTATGATGAATTCTACTTTTCCTTTATTTTCATTAATTTTTTGGCTTCAAAGATTCCATATCGCCAGCTTCAAAATCTGCTAATTGGTATATTTTTCCAGTGTTTTTTTCCTATTTCACTTCTTAGCTATGGAAGTGAGCTAGAACTGATTAACGTGTCACCAATTTTCAACTTCATCCACTCCTCCCTAAAAGAATTCATGCCCTCCTATTTCAAAGAACTGCCAAGTATGCATTACTAAGTCTCTCTTTTCTTCTTCTCCATCTTATAGCTTCATGGGTATCAGCAACCAAAGATAGTGGCGGGGCACCACAACTTAAAGGAACAAGATTGTTTTCTTTCGATGAACTCAAAAAGAGCACCAAAAATTTTTCAGAAGCCAATGAAATTGGTTCAGGAGGCTATGGCATGGTAATTCAGTTGTGTAAAAAGGCATTTAGTGTAGTAAAAGAGGGTATCACACTTATCTCTTTCAAATGTTCATTTCTGTTCAGGTCTACAAAGGCATACTATCAAGTGGGGAACTGGTTGCAGTTAAAAGAGCTAAAAAAGGATCCATGCAGGGTGGACATGAATTCAAGACTGAAATTGAACTTCTTTCTAGGGTTCACCACAAAAACCTAGTTGGCCTTGTTGGCTTTTGTCTTGAACAAGGCGAGCAAATGCTGGTGTATGAATACATCCCTAATGGAACGCTACGGGAGAGCTTAACTGGTAAGTTAATTCAACTTGGTCACGTTCAAATTTTTATGTTTCTTGTAACATTTATTCATATTGTTTCTAAATATTAGCACTTGCAGGGAAAAGTGGCAAAGAGCTGGACTGGGTCAGGAGACTTCAAATTGCTCTTGGCTCAGCTCGAGGATTGGCCTATCTTCATGAACTAGCAAATCCTCCAATAATTCATAGAGATGTCAAGTCCACCAATATACTCTTAGATGAAAGTTTGACTGCAAAAGTTGCAGATTTTGGTCTCTCAAAACTCGTTTCAGACAGCCAGATGGGACATATATCCACCCAAGTCAAGGGAACATTGGTAAATGCTCCACTTTAAACATGCTCCAGTCTCAAAATATCTATGTTACCTAGTCTTCTGTCTTAAGAAGTTTGACTTCATAATAACTAAGATTTTGTTAGGGCTAGAAAACTAAAAAACTGTAAACTTACACTTGCATAGTTGCATTTGTAGAGCTCTGTTTCTGTAGCTTAAACTGTAACCTCCAAACTACTGGTGGTAACTTAATCATTGCTACAAGCGCACCTTTTAGCTATAAAAGGGTAAATCTGACCTCAAATAATTTTTCCTTCTCGGAAAATATTTGCAGGGTTATTTAGATCCAGAATACTACATGACTCAGCAGCTGACAGAGAAGAGTGATGTTTATAGCTTTGGAGTGGTAATGTTGGAACTGATTACGGCCAAACGGCCAATAGAGAATGGCAAATACATTGTTAGGGAAGTAAGATTGGTTTTTGATGTCATGAATGAAGATTATTGTGGCCTTAGGCACATGATTGACCCAACAATTACAAATACTAATCTGATAGCATTCAGGAGGTTTGTAGAGCTTTCCATGAAGTGTGTTAATGATGCCGCAGCATATCGGCCAACTATGAATGAGGTGGTGAAAGTGATTGAGACAATCCTACAAAATGAGGGACTGAAGACAAATTCAAATCCTGCAACTTCATCTGTTACCGACATTGGGTACACTAAGGGTGCTTTTCACTCTTACATTGATTCACTACCGAGAACTTGAGCTGCAATGCCTTCGAATACAGTGGTGGTTTCTTGTTTGCCCCAAGAGTTGAGCAATGTAGCGAGCTTATACCTTCTTTTTTCTTTTCTTAATTTTCTTTACTTCGATATAGATTTTGTTTTTTCATAAGTAGTAAAGAGTCTAGGCTGACAATTGTATTTTATCAGGCCATATCTACTCCCTATCAAGTCGCTCATTATTCTTGTTTAACTGCCTGTTACAGGAGCTTGTTTTATTTAAACCAAATATGGTTCATATAAGGTGTAAGAGAGGAATGTTACATCAAGTGTTTTCATTGTTTTTTTTTTTTGAAAGAAAGTCTAAGCATTTTGTACGGATTTCATGTCCAAGGCATTAAATTAGAGCTTGTTTGTTTTGATTGTGGCCGCATGAAATTTCAGTTTAAAAGCTGCTATTAAATATTTGTTGTTTAAAAGTTGGTGTTCTTTGAAAAATTAGTTTTGAAAGTACTGTAGTTAGCGGTGTGGGCGCGCCAACATAGCGCAATGACATTGTAGTTAGCGGAGCAGGTTTGCCCATGAGGCGTGTGGGCACTGCACGGGATGCCCATATGGGCATGTTGGCACTACAGTAAGCAGCGCGGGTGCCCCTGTATGCCGTGGGGGCACTGCAGCAATGGATGGTATGGAACCCATATAGGCACGGTTACGTCGCATCTGAAAGTTCGTTTTGAAAAGCGAATGCAAGAAGCCAAGCGCGGTCCAGATTATTGAGAAATTTGTATTGTGGTTTTAAATTGAGATTCATGAACATGTGATGCAAACCGGTGATCCATGGATGCGGTTCAGAAATTCGGCCAAAAAGCTGTCCCAAATTCACCCTTGAGCTTCGATCGTATAGCAATTATGATTACCTTTTTACTTTCATTAGTTGAATCATATCCTAGTAATATTATCATGATAAAGCAAAAATATTAGGAAAAAAAACTTCAGATATACATTACAAAGCTTAAGTAGAATCAATGATATATTTATTTATATAGAAGACTTTGTATTAACGCCTTATAAAATAAAAAGAATCTAGTTAGTTAAACATATTTAGAGTTATTTTAATATATAAAATATGACTTACATACCATGCAAAATTTTAAGAAGAATATAATGAGCTAATAGTTTGTAACTAATGATACATGCTCTCTAATTGAACTCTTGCAAACCCTAACAGATTGTAGTGTCATGGATGATTAATGTTCAAGGCCTTAAAGTATCAATGTTTTAGCCATTGCGAAAATGCATTTACTTTAGAAGGAAATTGAAAACTGTAACATGAGGAATCTTAATTCTTAAGTTTGTTATGGTTTGAAAATTTTAATTTAAAATTTTAGAAATATCTATATAGATGTCAAATAACTCTCCAACCATGACCATATCTTAGATAACAACTATCACTGCTTGGTCATGCAACTGAAAAATTCTATAAGTAATTCTACAGTATAACCTTAGCATTTACCTTAAAAAATTTTGTTGACTCCTTAATTATCTTCTATAATGCCTAGCTATAATTAAATGTGCATAATCTTCTCTTAAAATAACTAGCCAACTAACAATCGCTTGACAAGTGGATTCATCGAGTATTTGCTTGGTATGCGTCCCTCTCAACTTTAATCTAGCCAACTTGGTTGACATGTTTTGATTGTATTCAACAAGGAGATTTTTTCTTGATGTGTAGCTTGTTAACCTCACTTTTGGTGATGAAAATTTAAATCGAACCCCCAATCTTCCCCTGTAGACTTAGGATCAATTTGCAGTGACTTGCAAGTGGCTTACTCTAGTGAGTAGTTGGCTCAAGTTCTCTCTTTAATTTTAAATGAGTTTAAATTAAACTTTATCCCGTTCATTATATTTAGTACTCCAATAAGTTCATATTGGAAAAAAGGGAACTAAAATTCAACCTATATCTAACAAGGTCAAACTTAACTCTTTTGTACTCTATAGGATCTTTGGATATAGTCAGCCCAAAATTAATCCTAATGACCTAAAACCTATCATAGTACTTCAAAACATTCTCTAGATTATTCCTTAAGCTTAAGGAAGCTTGGCCAACTCAACTCTGTTTGACTAAGCCAAGTCTTAATGACATATGTGATCGACTAATGTCAACTGGTCCAAATTTCTAATATTTTGACTTTTAATAACTCTAGAAATTACTAGGTATCAATTTCATCCCTAATTGGCACTTTTAACCCATATATATATCTTAGTTTTGATCAAGTGAAAAATAAGTGCCAATTTAAATAGGCTCCAGATCAACATAGTTTGACCAAAATGGTATTAAGTTGGCAATTTAACCTAATTCAATTAAATGAAATTAAAATTAATTTAAATTTAACACTAATTGGCTTTAAAGAAAAATAATAACCTTATGATAAAGTTTGTACTTATTCAAGCTCATCTAAAGGGTTGGTCAACCCCTTTGAGCATAAGCCTCATTAAGAGTGAATTGAGCTAAATTTCAAATATTTTGCAAGGAGTAAGGTCAAACTGGTTATAAGAGCTCATTGTGGTTAGAACCAATTTCAACCTTGACCATGTGGAAAATTTTGAGGTTCAACCATTCAAAATTCAATATATGTCAAACTAATTAGAGTTAATACCTCCATAGGCCATTTCCTACCTAATTACACTGAATCTATAATCAAATGCACCCAATTAGACCTAATAGGCCTATAAGCCCATTACGGACCTATTTAGATCACTATGAACCAAATTGAATTAAGTGATCTCCAAAAGAAAATTAAATTGAACCAACATTACTTGAGATCTAATTACAATTAGTTAAATTTAATTGACTACTATTGAACCGTCAACTAAGCCAATTTGGATCTTTAACCTAATTTTTCCCAATTGGGATAAATTGAACTAAATTAAAATTAAATGAAAAGTGAATCATATTCAATTAATTTAAACCATTCTAATCACCCTCTTAGGTGATTTTTTAATCAACAAAATTTAAATTCATGATAATTACGCTTTGATTGTGTCAAATTAAACATGGACTCAACATTGACCAAATTATACCTAATGAATCATTTTGGCCCAAATCAAATCCAAATTCATTCAAACCAAGTGAATAACTAACAAATTACTTTAGGAATCTACTTAGATTCTCCTTTGGCCTTTGGCCTATCAAATTAGGCTCAGCAGAGATTAACCCAAATTAAACCTAAAGGGAACCCCATGAGGTAATTCCATCTAATCCCAGTCCAAGATTAAACTCATTAATCTAAGATCAAATAAGAAATTTTAAGGTTTGTCCAAGGCATACCCCAACTTAGATTCACCAAAATACACTCAATTAACTAATTTGAGCCTAATTGACCTAATTGGTCAACCCATCAGATCATTACAAAAAAATTGCTAGACCCTTAACACTTCCTAGGTCTATATTCCTTGACTAAAAGTGGATGACATGGTCTCAAGGTTGCCCTATCTCCTCTAGTTCAACTAAAGAGTCCGTAGGACTTACGTCAACCCACCTCCCATACACACCTAGATTTTATATCCTTTCAAGTGTTGTATGAATTGACCCAAACCATCAATCTCTAGCTGTCAAATGGTAAAATAGACATTTTTACAGCCTGTAAGAGTTGACCCATGTCAAATTTGGTTTGGTTTCACTTCGGCCAAAAGGGAATTCTCTCTTTGGATTGATTCATTGGAAACATTATCAAGAGTTTCATGAGTCTCCCCATACATGTACTCTTCTTTCATGTGTTATAATGTTTTGCAAACCTGACTCGACCCTTATTTGAATCATTTTGCTGGTTATTTCTAATAGCCTTGGAATTTGAAGGCCTTCTCCTTCAACTCACGTGAACCTTCTTCATAAGTCATTTGTGTTTGAGAACTGTCACAATTAAGTATTCCTCATACTCGTACCCTAGTTTTTTTTTTATTTTGAAACTTACAGAAGAAAAGCTAAGGTTGGTGCCACATTCACCATTAATTTTGAGTCTTTAGGGCCTCTTGATCATTTTGTATTTAACAAGAAAATAGTAGATGACTTGCATCTCCTGGCTAAATGTAACACATGAAAGTATAGTTGTTAATTTTTGTTATTTGGAACAGATTACTCTAATCAAACTATTTAAAATCTGGTACCCTCGATTGCTATGTGCTAAAGTTTGTGGCCAATCTAGCCATCCAACCAGAGTGAGTTACGTCGTCTAAAATATGCTCTATGTCAGCACTAATTGTGTAAACTAAAAGGTATTTATGGAAAAATAATTGCAATCCATAAAACCTTCACAAAATAAGGATGATTTAATGAATACAAAAAAGAAAAAACTGTGAATGCTTAGAAAATAAATCTCCATAAAAAATTAAAGTGCCAAATTTATTGGATAATTAAGAATTAGTTTAAAAATACTAAAAAAATATATAATCAAAATTAAACATAAAATTATCCTTTTTCAAGATTTTTGCTTTCATCATGAGAGTTATGGCACATCCCATCTTATTTATCAATTCATTAACAGAACAGTTTTCCGTCCAAGCTAGTTTCTCGAAAACTGAGCGGACTCGGGTAAGAGGGGTAGACTTCTCTTTTCTCTCTCCCCATCTATTTTGGAGAGACGGCGGTGGTAGCATGGCTGCAATATGGTAAATTCCTTCCTCTCTAATAGTGGCAGACAAATGATGGAACCTGCTCCCTTCTAGGTAAGGTGAGGTATCCATTGATTCTATCTCATTTGTCAGAGGGGTTGCACTTACTTGAACTGACTTGGCAACCTATGCCTTTTGTGCCATCAATTCTCTTCTTTTTCGGTTCTTCCTCTGAGATCATGTCGGTGCACCGACTTAGAACAGGACCCAATCTCAAACACAAAATATGGGGGCAAGGCCATCCATTTGGCCATCCTTGTACAAAATCACTTTTCCTTTTACTGACGGAGCAGCTGATGCAGAAACAGTAAACCCAACGGGTGAAGCTGTAACAGTCCTGGTGGCAGTGAGGATAACTCTAGTGGTAGCAGAAGCAGTAGTTGAAACAGAGGTGATAGTGACCTTCACCTTCTTGAGGGAAGGGAAGTTTTGGGCGTTGTGTAGGTTGAATTTAGTAGACGGCTTCTGAAACTCGGGGGCAACTATCTTTGCTATCACATATGGTGTCTTTCCATGTAGCATCTCGAACTCGTGGAATCAGACTCAAACTGGATAAATGATGCCATGTGGCGAGAGTTTTGGTCTGTGGGCATGTTGAATAGGAAAGTCAGGCTCGGTGACGACATTCTTCTTGCTAATTGCAAGGCTTCGAACATCTATGAAATTTCATGCTTTATTTTCAAATGTCGCAAGTAAGAAGGTT